CCCCCGCTTCTTCCGGAAAGCCTCTGTCCTTCCTGAGCAGACTCACTCTATCACAGCGCCCCTGTGAGGACAGAGTAGAACTGCCCCTGCTGACAGCTCTGACTCTGTGCCAGCAGAAAGCCTCATTGTTCTCCCACGGAGGGGCCGGTGGTTTGGAACTACCGACCCTGGGGTTAGCAGAACAATGGCATAACCACTACACCACCAGGGCTCCTCTTGGTGAGCAGAGTAAGGCTGAAATACTCCGAGGGCCCTGAAGGAGGGGTCACAGTCCGAGGCAGCCACTCACCCCCAAATGCCCAGCTGGGAAGAGCGAGCAGCCATCTGCTGGGCACTCACTACAATTGGGGCAGTGATTCTCCACCCTCCTAATGCCGCAACCCTTTAATATAGTTCCTCGTGTTGTGGTGACCCCCCTACGTGTGTATCTGCATGTGGGCGGACCTTCCTGGAGAGGGATTGAGGAGCGCTGTGCCGATTCCTAAGACCATCAGAAATATGGTCTTAGGCGACCCCTGTGGAAGGGAAGTTGGACCCCGAAAGGGGACAAGACCCCCAGGCGGAGAACCGCTGATGTGGGGCCTGCAGCTGGAGAAATGAAGTGCGTAACAGCTGCCGCCCAGAGGCTACCCAGAGCCCAGGCTGGTTGTCGCCGTTGTTCAGCTGGGGCCTGCTCACCCGCTCCCTTGCTCGCTTACTCAGGCAGAAGACAAAGAATGAAAGTCTGGGGTGACGTCAAAAGCCCTCTGGGCACAAATCTAATAGGATGCATGTGGGACCAGCAGCTCCTTCCCGGCTGCACCCCACCTGCATACCTGTCCTTGCCGCTCCCGTTCTTGAGGTTCACGTCTGTGCCGTTTGAAATGAGGATTTTGACAAGCCTGGAGGAGACACGTTTAGAGGAGGTGTGGGTCCATGAGGGTGCACGACACTGACTGATGGACCCTACGCATTGAGGCTTTCTTTTCCCCAAGGCAGGCTGGTCTGGAGACAGGCGAAGGTCAGCATGCCAGCCAACCAGTGTGCTTCTGTAAGTGAGAGGGCCTTCAGCACGCCTGCTCTGGGGGGAGAGGGGGGTATCTGTGTAGATCTATATGCTAATGTTTGCCAGCAACATGCAAGGAAAATAAAATAAGCATTGAGGGCACCGCAGTGGAAGTGGTCGGCAAACAAAGGGAAAGGCGAGGGTTCTTTGCAAAAGCGATGGTGCCTCTGGCACACACAGTGGGGTCCTCACCCTGCACAGGCAGCTCAGAGGTTAAGAACACACGCGGCTGTAAGCAATCAACTGGACCACCAAACGATCCAGTCTCATCGACACCACCCCGTCTTAGATCTGAAGAGAGCAGCATGGAAACATTCTTCAAGAGGATTTAGAAATTGAAATATAGAAGGAGTTGGAAAATAAGGTGTGTACATTTGTGTTTTCTAATGGGCAAAATGCTCTTGACCTGACCACCTTGGAGAGCCTGGCCTCGGGCCACAGCCGTCTGCACAGACTCCCTGTGCGGGGCAGTTACAGCGAGACACTACCTACAACCTCCTTCAGAGCAGACAGAGGGGGACAGGTGTCAGAGATCAGCGTGGAAGCCTGAGGTAGGCATGCAGGAAGAGGAAGTATCAAAGCAGCTTTGGAGCGAAGATTAGAAGAGAGTCCATTAGCACATGAACCCTACAGAGTACGATTTGGGTTTCAAAGGGGGGGGGGGAATCCACTACAAACCACCACCTCTGTGAGCAAAAGTAGGCCATTAGAATCTTAGAGACCAACCTCCTGTTCACCCCGCACCCCCTTTCTTCTCAAAGGTCATGCTGCTGCGGATTCCCCTTCTAAGGACAGGGACTGAGAAGGTGGGTGGAGGTGCCCAAGTGCAAAACCTAAACTTGAGGGAGGACAACATTTTAAAGATACAACACAAACATGGGACACGGTGTAATAAAGGAAGATAAGACAAACGTTCAGGCTTAATGAGACGCATTAATGAGACTGATAGTTTAGCAATCCACCTGGGAAGTTTGTCTGCTAGAATTCGTATCTACCTCCCCTTTTTAACAAAGCAATCCAAATTCCAATAGCCAGTTTTCCTAGGAGATAGAAACTATGTTGCCGCATCACTAGCTACCTCCATAAGGTAGATAATTCATTATACAGTGGCCCATGCTCTCCTTTGGGATTTTTCTTTCTTTAAGCAGGGGGTTGGGGGAAGACAGGCAGAGTAGGAAGCTGGACTCCCCCACGGCCCTTGCGCTTCCCAGCCCAACCTGAGCCTCTGGGAGGAGCGAGGTGGGACCGCCTGCATGGGAGGAGCAAGGCAAGAGCAGTACCTGGTGTATCCTTTCTGGGCAGCGACCATCAGTGCGGTGAAGCCGAGCTTGTTGGGCACATCGACCTTCACGTTGCTGAAGGAACCAGAGGAGAGAAATGGGTGTGCCCCCTGCCTCCCGGGGCTCCAGGAGGAACAGGGCACGCTGGCTGGGCACCAGTAGCTATGATGGTTCCTTTTGCCAAAACTCCCTACTTATTCTGGGCCATTAAGTTTGTATGGTCTCAGACTGCCTAGCCTAATATTTTAAGAGTTTCCAAGGTACAAGAATAGAAGAGCAAATTGCTATAATTTCACTAGAAATAGGCCCTTCTCCCTTCAGCTCAAAGCCATTACGCGATGCAACAGAGCCCCCCAGGCAGAGTGCGGCAGCTTCTCAGCCAGCCCCTCATTTTTCCCTTGGAATCCCACCCCACGTCCTCGGCAGAAAGTGATGCCCCGTGGAGGAAGGAACAGAGCTCCCGAGCTCCCTGTGGAAGTTCCCACTGTGG